AATGAAACGGCCATGTGCCTGACTGAACTGCTAGAAAAACCCAGACCCAGTTCCAAACTGCCAAAACGAAGTTTCAACTGCAATTGAAACTCGGACCCTTACTAAACTGCTAAAACGCAGTTTCAAATGCAATTACAAACTGTAGCCTTTTTTTTTTTTCTTTTTTTTTTTAATTTTATTTCGGCTGAACTGCTAGTGGTGGTGATGAGAGCATCCACTACTAGCAGCTCAACTACTGACTCCATTCTATTGATGGGGAGCTGCACCTGCTGGAAACCGGGTCTTGCGTCCCTTAATACACATAAATCTGTTACATAACTTGTATAAAGTGTCAAGAAAATGGAATCTGCCTCTTCAGCCAAAACTTAGGCCGCCAGATACTTCTATGAAAACTAGCAGACCTATCTCCAGACTTTACTTACTCGTGCTAAGTAGAATTTACAAAAAGTATCAGAAACTGAAATCTTGAATCTCTCCAAGATATCATCATATTCATAATTATCTAGAGATCTATCCTGGAGAGAACTCATATTTCTTTTGGGATTTAACCATATTACATGGCATACCATTGCAAATCAACTAAAGCCAATTCCAAGGGAGGGAAGGGATCAGAGAAGCATTTCGGTGATCTGAGAGAGGCTCCTAGCGGAATTGAAAACCAGTCACTGAAGCAAAGATGGAAGTCCCTCTTTAGTGGTTTTTCCTGTTTTTCCTTTCCTGGTCATTTCACTTCTCCCAAACTTCCTCCTTCGGTTCCCCCTAGCCATTCCTTATTAAATTTTTGAATACATTTGAAGATATATTTTTTTTGGTGGAGTAATTGTATCTTAGATTGGACCTTTGACCAATGTGCCCGTAATTCTGTCTGCACAAAAGTGTATAATCAGCTCAGCAAATTCCCTTCCTTCTAATTTTACTTCTTCTCTTTCATATACACACCTTTTGTACCATAATACCCATAAAATGGATTTCCGTCCTATCTAAAAAAAAATCATCTGAAATTCTGAAAGTTGTGTTTCCACCGGTACTCATTGACCCAAGAGAATGACTTTCCAATCTCATGGTTAATCAATTCCGGTCAGCCCCCTCCATATACAGTCCCATCTTCTCCAAAGTAGGATCGTTCCTGGGCATTGAATGAACACATGTTCAATTGTCTCCCTGATCTTCTTATGGGGGAAAACAGATGGACATGCTTTGCACCATGGATGTGCCAGACCTCGTTGTTCCAAATGGGTGTGATCAATGAGCCAATCATTAGTTGGTAAGCAACAATGAAGAATTTGTCATTGTAAAGAGGAAAATTTGGCTGGTCTTTTTTTAATTTTATTGAAAAATCTAATGTTTGTGATGCTTTGTGCGTCAATATTTAGATGTTTGCTCCATCGGTCTCTTATTACAGACGACACATCTACCCGTGGTCTTATCAAACGATATGTTGCCTTCACCGTTAGGGATTGTAGAGTGAGTGGTTTACTCCTTTTCCCCGTTTGCCATGCCCATTCGTCTGGATCTATGGGAAGGTCCGGAATTGGGCATTGCGGTTGAAATGCTTTCCATCCAGAGGTTGCTGACATAAAAATAACTCTAATTCTGAACATTTCCGTGAAAGGAAAGAACTCAACTTGATTGGTTAATGAAGGTCGGAGTAGGTGGTTAGTTGTTATTGTGAATAGGGCCGTTAAGACTCCTTCTTCTAATAGAGTCATTATTTGTCCTACCTGCCAATATGATGGTTCGTGTGTAATCATTACAAAGTCTCCTTCCTTAAATTTTACTCCTTTTGTTAATTCTCTAACCCATGCCAGTGGGATAGAACAAATGATGTAGTCCAGATTTTGATCTAATCTGTGCATGTATGTAATTGTTTTCTTAAGTTGATCAGAAGATTTCCACACTTTGTTTTCCAGATCCCAAATGTCTTTAACCCGTATTATTCCTTTTTTCACCCATTGAGACCAGGGAGGAGTAGAACTATTGTACACGCAACCATTAGCGTCCATTATCCTTCTATTCCCAAATAGAGGTTGCCTCATGATTTCTTCAAAGCGTATGGTTGCGGGTTTATTAAGAAGAGGTAGCTTTCTCCATGTCCTTAGTAGGGACGCCCATAGGTTATCTAGGGGTAGATCCCTACGGGCTGCTCCTCTTTCCCCTTCTAATCTTGAGTGGGTAGAGGGACGAGGGATATTCCAAAATAAATTCTCTATCCAAGTAAGGGGATGTATTTCAGGTGGAGCTATCGGCGCTAGTTTCCTAATTTGTTGTAGAGCCAAAGGTTGCCAAGGCTTGTCGATACCTTAAA